TCCAGAAAGAGCCCACGGCGACTCGGGAAAGGACAGGGCTGGCCGCTCACCGTCAGGGCCTCCTTGTCCTTGTCGTAGTGGGCCAACTTCTTCTGCAGCTCGGACACCTGCTCCTGGGCCTGCTGCAGGGGCTCCTTCAGCTGCTTGTTCTGGAGCAGCACATCCGCCTTCTCCTTTTCCAAGTGATTCTCCCTCTTCTTCATCTCCTCCGCCTGCTCCTGTTCTTGGGAACACGAGTGCCGACTCCTGGGGGCTGCCCGGCTCCTCAGAGCTTCCCACACCGTCAGGACACCCTCCCGCTGCTGGCCCAGCAAGAGGCATCTCCCTGTGCCCAAGAGCTTCGCTCCTGTGACGGTGTACAACCCTCAGGAGACCAGCAGCGCGCGCACCCACACCGGCCAGATCCGGGTGAAATCCTCAGAGGACCGGTCCCTCGGTGGAAGGGTGACGCTCTGCCGGCAGCGGGGCGGGCAGTACCTTCAGCAGGCTGATGAGCGCCAGGTTTTTGAGGGTGATATCATTGTAGTAGTTCTTGATGTCACTGAAGGCCTTCTCGTGGTTCCTCATCAGCTCGCTGATCTGGCTGTTCTTCCTCTCCTCCACCTCGTGGATCTCCGTCTTCCTCCGCAAGTCAAGCTCGTCCCGCAGCACTTGCATCTTCTTGGTGTACTTGGCCTCGATCTCTGGGGGAGCGCACAGGGGGCTGAGTCAGGACCTCCCGGAGACCCTGCGTAATGCACCCCAGCTCCGTTGGCCAGCGCCAGCCCGGCGCGTGCCGCCGCGGCGTCACTCGAGGACAGGACGCCCGTTAGCAGCGTCACCGCAGCTGCCACCAGCGTGCAGAGCAGTTACGCTGGGACCACGGAGAGCAGAGCCCAGAAATAGCGTCCTCGGAAAGAGGGCATGGACACGCTCCAAGTCAGCCCGTGAGAACCTGAAGCGTCCCCTGAGGAAGGACGCTGGAGCGAGGACTCTGCAAGGGCTCCTCCAGCCACCCCACCCCGCGGCCTGGAGAAGCGCGGCCAGGCAGCTGCACCCCTCAGCCCACGCTACGGGCGCCCGGCCTTGTTCCGTTCGCGCGACGCTGGGAAGGGTCTGGCAGCCCCAGAGCACGGGGGGGGCAAGAATTGGGGGAAAACCGGCCCCCTGTCTGCTCGAGGCTCTGCCAGGGGGTCCAGCAGAGCTCGGAGGAGCCTTCCCCGGCACGCTGGCAAAGGGAGGCCACGCAGGAGCTACACGCACGTCCCGACCTTTCGCTTGTCTCTCGAAGTCGTTGCACAGCTGGGTGATCTCCTCCTCTTGTTTCTGTTAGGGAGAAGCTACGCGTTAGAGGCAGACAACCAAATCCCGAGTCAGCCGCATCCCGAGGGATTCCCTCCCGCTCCCTGGGAAAGGCTCCCGCCCGTGGCACCAATCCCACGTTATCCGTGCAAACGGCGGGGCGGGGGGGGCGCTCTCCCCCCCCCCCC